AGTTACTATTTCGACATTCCACGGCTTTCCGGGCGTCTCATTTCTGATATAAGCCAAGTCAAGTGAAGAAATTCCTGGCCTTTCATTGTAGAGGATAGAAATGAAACATTGTTACTTGGAAGACTTCTCTTCTTCCCGATAGATGCTTTCTATAAGAATTTTATGGTATTGTGAATGTACCGAATGAGCATTGTCCTTGGTTTTAATACAGGTTTTTATTTATTTAGCTTTCTAGCTTTAAACCATCGTAGAGGCTTCCACAAATTTCTTTTGTCTTCAAGCTCAATGCACGTTTTCTGTGTAGAAAGACAGTGTGTTCACTGTGATATTCTGGCTTGCCTGAGACATTATCATAAATTAATTAATTGTTTATTATTAATATTTCTGATTTATAACTTTTAACGTTAGCTGTGAATATTGTAATAACTCTGCTTTTTTTAAAAAAAGGAATTCGAACCAACATTAAATGGGATATCACTAAACATGCAACCTAGAGAATTATTAATTGTTATAGGTCCTGTTGGATCAGGGAAGGTAATTATTGTTTTATATTATAAATTAAAATTATATGATTTATGATTTAGAGATTGTTTAAAAAATTAATAAAATAAATTGTATAAATGGTTACCTTTTAATTTTTAATTGTGTAACATTATAACAATTTATTTTTTAGAAATGTCTGCAATTTGTTTTATTAACTCTGTAAGTTGTTACTAGCACAAATAAGTTTTGAAATACAGAACTGTAGAATAATACTTGATCATCACTGAAATTTCAGCGCACACATCTTAAATAGAGATTAGATTGTATCTACTGATATTTTTAACTATTGAGTGCCCGATTCTATCGATATCTTTATTTTTTCGTTTGATTATATGTACGACAGATTATTTTTTGGCATAAATCAGAAGTTTATTCATGAACATATTCTTATACAAACACTCACATAGTTTTAAAATGTTTATGTACCTGTACTTATATTATGTATGCAAAACATTTCGAATAAAATAATGAGATAACATTAATTTTGTTAGACGTCTTTACTAATGTCATTGTTAAAAGAGATTCCAATTACTTCTGGTGAAGTATCTGTAAAAGGAAAGATTGCTTACGCTTCTCAAGAAGCTTGGGTGTTCAACGCAACTATCAGAGAAAATATCTTGTTTGGAGAAGAATATCAAGAAGACAAATATAGAAAAATCTTGCATATAACGGCACTAGAAAAGGTAAGATTTTTTCTACTTTTAATAACAAAACTTTGGATTCATTACTTCTTTTATAGACAAAACGTTATTTGATCAAAACTACAAAATCGATAGAACATAAAATTAAATGTTATTACCTTAAAGAGTTTTTTAAATACAAAACCCAAAGTTCATTTTATCAAGAAAACCATTCAATAAGTCAAACACTTTTAAAAATCAACAGTTATACTGTATTTAGTTTTCATAAAGATGTCAATGCGTATTACATAGAATATATTTATTATGTATTTTTATATTTACCACTTTTAGGATATTAGCTTATTTCCTAAAAGAGATCTGACTATTGTAGGAGAAAGAGGAGTTATAATGAGCGGTGGGCAGAAGGCAAGAATTAATCTAGCGAGGTAAGAAAGATCTCATCTAATATATTTCAAGCAGTGCAAATATAAAAGTACAATTTTAATGGTAATAAGACACATATACTGTAACAACAGATATATTTTAATGGAACTCGACTATTGCTTATATGTATATTGGTTTTGATTTTAGTCATTACATCCTGATAAAAAGTGACACCCAAAACCTATATTGTTTCACTTTTCAGTGATGTTTTCTTAATTCTTCGTGGTGTATTCCTGTAAACGCTAAAATACAGAGAAGTGAAAATAACATAAAATTAAAAATATATATTTTAGTTCAAAGAAACACAATTCTGTTATCAGATAAAATCACTTTAGATCGGTTATTTTTTGATTTGATAGCAGGGGCATCGTGTGTTGATGTTCCATATTTTCTCTGACGCTGTCTCTTCTACTTCGTAACATAAAGCGCAGAAAATTCTATAAACGATGGAACAAGAACAATTTATTAATTTATTAATGGCGATAAATCTTTATATTTTCCAGAGCGCTATATGTGGATGCCGATATTTTCCTCCTGGATGATCCACTGAGTGCTGTTGATGTTCCAGTGGCAAAACATATCTTCGAAAAGTAATTATTTAANCGAGATGATTGCTGATATGAGGTTGATCAAGATGTACACCTGGGAAATGCCATATGCCGCATTAATAGAAAAAATCAGAATGTAAGTGCAGTGAAATACAGTAAAACCTGTTTAAAACGGAACCAAAATAAAACGAATAACTACTTGAACAGAAAAAAATTTTCCAAAAAGTACAGTCGATCCCCCTATAACACTGTCGATTATTCCGTTTTATATGAATTCCATGTTGTACGAGTCACTTAGATTTTACAAATACGTGTACCGGGCTGAGAACGGCTCACGAATTTGTAAAATCTAAGTGATTCGTACAACATGGAATTCATATAAAACGGAATAATCGACAGTGTTATAGAGGAATCGACTGTATTTTTGTTTTAAGAAGTAAACCCTGTTCAGAGCATAAACCACAAACTTTAGGAAATATTTGACACCATCCGATTCCTGTTTACACTGGTTTTATTGCAATTTCTATACGCTAATGTGTTTTAGATAATTATTTTTGGAGCTCTGCAATTGTATTATTTAATTGTTTCTATTTGCAGGAAAGAAATGAAAAAAATTCGAATGTTTTTATACGCAAGCGGAATATCTTATATATTGGCGTATCCTATATCGAAATTATTCATTCTTCTCACATATCTCGCATTCTTTTTAAATGGAGGACGGTTAAATGCCGAAATTATATTCGTCACAATGACATTTTCAATGTATATCTACAGCAACATTGTTACTCTGTTTTCTCAAGCAGTAGGTTTTGTTGCAGAAATTTTGGTTTCGTTAAAAAGGATAGAGGTAAAGAACAATTTTTAAATTATTCTTTTCACATTTGATTACAGCAATACTAATTTAGATATAATTCGAAGATATCAACATATAATTATTAATATTGTTTTGGATAAAGATATCAAATATTAACACTTGTCCGTAACGAAATCTGAATAAATTGAAAGCCTGCCTAGACCAGAAAAGTTACTGAATAGACTATATTCTCTGTTAAATTTTACAACAAACCCGAAATCTTTACAATGAAAACCTATAAAAATTTGCATGTACAGTACAAACAATATCTGAATGGAGCTTGAAATCAGGATTCCACTTGTAAATGAATTTCTTTTATTTACCTATTTTACCATGGATCATGAAAATCTGTTTTTTATGAAAGAGTTTGAATCTTTTAAAATTAACGAATGTCGCGTGACGATGGACATAAGACACGAATTCATTTTAATATTATTGTTTGATGAACTTGATTTCAGCAAAAACCAAGGAATATAATTGAATACTTTTGACAATCAGGAATTTTCAAAATTATTTTAAGAAATACGATCAGAATACGTTGATCTCTATTATTATAAAGCAATTAGAATTCTTCAAATAGAGACAGAATCACTATTTTGTGTTTTTTCTTACATTCTGTTTTTCATATGGGATTTTTAGACGGGCTTGTTATGCCCATACAAGTTTGGTCAAGCCCGTAGCAATCGGGAGATGTACGTTATATATAATGGATTCTTTTTACTAGACTATCTCATAAAAAGAATTATCGGAGATTGTCTTGCCCGAAATCAATCCCAGATTCCCCAGAATGATGGCCTGACATTTTCACTATCCTTCAGCTGTTCCAATGGTGAAAAATTAGTGCTTTTGGTTCTTGGACTAGCTTGTTCGTGTCCTAATGACTAATTTCGCTAATGTCAGAGAACTCGTACTATACAATTATTCAGCGCAAGTTTTACCAACAAAGCAAAAGATCTTGAAAAAAATTAAAAATCAACTTAAACACCTAATGCCACACTTAATCAATGGATTAAGTGTTTATCGATAAATCGGCTGTTTAAAAAATTTCCGGAGTTTTTCAATCGCCCGAAGTGGATCTTGGAGGAGTCGAAAACCGACTTAATTGCCTAGTTCATCTCGAGCTTATTGAGTATACTGTATTAAAAGCACTAACATTTTTGAAATTTTAATTTAGGATTTTCTCCTCCTTCAAGAAAGAGAGGACAACGCTATCAAAACCATAGGAGAGAGAGAAAATTTAACCGAATGTAAAATACGGATGGATAGTGTCATAGCTGCTTGGAAAAAAGTAAGACATGACTTCAAATTTAAATTAATATAAGATCTTCAATAAAAATAATATGTTTTACAATTCGTATACTCGATACATTTAAAGTCGATCAATTAACAATAATAGTCATCAATTAGAAGATTAATAAGTGCTCCTTGTCCTTAATTCGTTATATTATGCTTATGTCCACTTTGGAAATTCTTGTGAACTAATAGTCTACTCCTTTAGTATAACAAGTCCTGAATACAGTTGACCACCCTATAACACGGTAGATACGTTCCGTTCTTCATGAATCCATTTTGTACGAGTCCTTGCCAATCACAGCCCGGCACGTATGCACTTTACGGACTACGGCTGTTTGAAAGGTTTTCTTCTATAAAATTAATCGATTCTTAGACTAATTCGACTAAACATTTCCAAAACACGTATATTTTTTGGGAATAATCCGTATAAACTATGCTATAAACAAAAAATTGTAGGATTACTTACCGAGTGTGCACCGTTCGACGTCGCCATTGCTTAAGCTTGTTTTCGTCGCGGAGCAGCGTACCAAACGGCGGCCGCGATTTCTGATAAGTTATTTTTCTGCAAAAACTTCGTTGAACTTTGGAGACATCATTAATA